AAAAATAATTTTTTAAATAAAATAAACACACATTCATACTCATAGGCTATTGTATCATATACCTCTATATATATAGCCTAAGTAAACTCCGACATACACTCAAACCCACACACTAAAACACATAACACATCAGTGCTCTGTCATTTATTACTATATTGATCTCGAGAGTAGAATGCCAAAAAATGTACAATGTACGTCAAAAGAACGCCTGTTCACAAAGGTATGTTATGCAAACAGCTGCTCCCAGAAGTAAGACTCTATAACCGTTTTGAACGTCATAATCGGATTTCACTTTCTCAATATTATATATCAAAGAGGTTGAACATTTGTCGAATTGCCTCTGTCTTCAATACGGTTAGAAAAAAGGTAAGCTTATTGAATCATACTGGAGACAAATCATTAGTCATCTCCGATCATACCCTGATACCAGGCGAACAGACGACGAGTTCACCGACTTTTGTGAGTAAACGATTAAGCACTTCGTTGTCGCACGCAGGAGACCCGAGTCACGCCGAGTGGCTTTTTTTTTCGGCGCTCACACTGCATACGGTCATATGAGCGCGGGGGACTTATTAAACATTTTCAGTTGGTAGGAAATTTTGAATTTGGCCGGATGGCGGAGGATGCATACTCTTACTGATTTTGGACCACCAAGAGATCTTTAAAGTTCGCAACTTGGACACAGGACCCCCGAGATGTTTTGCCTTTATTTGAGAAGGCTATGTGTAGATCTTTAATCCTACCATAAGATCAGGGGTGTGGCTGAAAGACGGCAGCTAGAAGGAGCCAAGGAGTAGCAGTAGAAAGGCTGCAGAAAGAGTCAGAGCCCGGAAGAGGGGGCAAAGGAGGGGGGGGGGGTGGGGCAGAAAGTGGAGACGAAATCAAACGACAGAACATTGCCATAGAGCAGGAAAGGATGTGAAAGGAGAAAACTTTAGAGAAAAAAAAATTTCTGTCGCTATCCGGATTCGAACCCGGGACCTATTGAATGGGAGGCGAACACCTTAACCTACAAGACCACGAGAGCCCGCCTTGTTGGCTCTAGCAGGCAGAGTTGAAAGCCTGCCTTTAAATAGTTTTAAATGGTCTAAATTGTGTCAGTTGAAAGGTAAAAACAGCTACATTTATTTTATTTTTGATTTGGTATTAGAAGAGTACGTGTACTGAAGCATTGTGAAGACATTACAAACTGATTATGAGTGTCACAACTTCGTCGTCAATAATCGTGCCTTTTTCATCTTCAATCTAAACGCGCTCGTAAGAATGCGAATGATGTCACTGAGAGAAAACATAGATTTTACACTATATTAGGATATAAATCAATTAAAACAATAACTAAAGTTTCGGTGTTAACTACGAAAAAACCCTTTGAAAACACTCGCCTTGAAAACTTTTCTTTATTTCACTTTGCGCGCGCGTGTGTGTGTGTGTGAGTGTGAGTGAGCGCGCGTGTGCATGCGTGCGTGAACGTGCACTCTTGTGCGCGTTGTGCATATATCTATACTTCCGTAAACAATTTTGTTCCATTTTTATCATGACATGGTTTTTTAAAAATAAATAAATTAGTTCCGAACAAACCAGCTCCTGGGAGGAATTGTTATTTTTCACATTAACAAAGTAATTCGCACGACAAAGAGGTTTTTAAAAAAATCCCCCCTCCAGGGCAGTGCTACTGACTGAAGATGTCTTACGCTAAGCTTTAGGCCCTTCCCAAACGGAAGATATTAACATGTTCTTATGTACAATAGAATAGTAAATGGGCTGCTTTATCAATGTCATGCTCATACTGTGCCGGAACAACATAGGGGGAGCTGCTTCTTTTTCTTTCTTCATCCTTACTATTGTCATTTTTCCACTACTTGTCACTCTCTCGTGAACTGCTATTACCGTGGTGCCTTGATAGTCGAAGCAGACTTTGTGCTGTTGAGGCTAGAGAGGTGAGCAGAGTAAGCCTGATTCCCCGTTTGGACTTCTCTGTTGACATCCGCCTCTTGGCGCTCATCATATGACCCTATGTGGTTATTGTGAGCGCCGTAAAACCTTACTAAATCTAAAACAAAAAAGGGTAAAAAGGATAGATGGAAGCTTGGAGTTTTATTTCTAATAAAGTTTGTACAATATATTTACTTTTTTATTTTTATGCACGTGTATTTTACATCATTTATGTGTAAAGCTTTAGGCACACTGAGAAAGCCGTACGACATACGTCACTCGCTTTATCACTCGCCACTCGCCGCAGTCTTTAATTTCCGTACGCCGCTTCGAGTGGAATGATAAATTATAGAAAAAAAGTTATACAACTTATACGCCCAACGCCTTTGACCACTAGTCACACAGAAAATTCTTAGGTACGTGTGTCAATGTCAATAACATGGTGAACAATGAAACACTGATTTATCTATGGTGGTTACGTAGAAACCTTAATCGAAGAAAAAAATAAAAAGCCCCATCATGCAATCTACAAAGCACATTGTAATAGGAAATAATTACATGTAATATGCAAGCCAATGAGGTGAAATACCTGGGTTACATGATAACATAAGATGGGAAATGTACATCAGAGGCCCAAAGATAGTCAGCCATGATGGCCCCTACTCCTCCCAAACAGACTGCAAAACTCGCTCAGAATATTGAAAGTGTACATTTGGTCAGTTACAGTTATTTGATAAATTATCAAAAGTGTTTTTATGTTGGTGTTGTTGTTTTTACTCCCCCATGGACACAATTAGAACTATTTAGGACCCGGGCTTCAGACTCTGTCAGGGCTAACCAAGGCCGAGAGGGATACAACATCCCAGCAGAAAGACTAGGGAACTCAATAAAAATTTCTCACAACTCGGTAATTGAACTCGAGTCTCCTGCATGCGACACCGAAGCCCCTATATAACCGCTACATACACCACAGATGCTGGGGTTATAAAGCTGTGAGTGCTAGACAATCGATAATAACCGTAAAACAAAAGGAGAAGCATGTGGTTCATTACACGAACGCTGAAAATATGTGCCCAAAAAGAAAGAAGACAACCCAGGAAGTGCTCGAAACGGCACACATGAAATGATAATGATCAGTCATCGAGACAATACATGTATTGAAGTGACAGACGAAATCCATGAGGCATGTCATGTGAACAGAAAAAGAGAGTTGGGACCGAAAAACCGACGGCACTCGCGATTTTTATTAGTATTATTAGCCTGAAGACCTGGGCAACTAGATGTAGATCTACTATCAACAAATTTAAAAAAACAATTTTGTCCATAAGGAATTAGGATCTCGAATGAAAGAGAGAAAAGGAAAACCAAAACCGCGAGTGCCTGTATATGTGTTTGTGTGTGTGTGTGCGTGTGTGTATGTATGTGTGCGCCCGCGCGCGCGCGTGTGTGTGTGTGTAAATACAAATTAATATTGAATCTCTCTCTCTCTCTCTCTCTCTCTCTCTCTCT